AACTGGATCAGGCCCTCTGAATAGGTGAGACAGTTGATTGGCTTGATCTGTTTGGGAGGCATCTAGGCAGTGGTACCAGGTCCTGGGCTCGTTGCATGAGTTAGCTGTTTGAAACCTGGGACTTATTCAGGGACGCTTGGCTCAGTCTGGGAGGAGGGGACTGGACCTGCCTGGACTGAGTCCATCAGGTCAATCTCAGTCCTCGGGGAGACCTTGATCTGGAGGAGGTGAGAATGGGGGATGGGCTGGGGGGAAGGGGAGGGGGGCAGGACGGGGGAGAACAAGGGAATCTGTGGCTGTTATGTAGAACTGAATGGTATTGTAAAATAAAATAACAACAACAACAAAAAAAAACCACTTAGAGATGCTTGAGAATTTCATGTCCTTAAAGACAGTGAAGTACTGTTACTTCACCTTCAAAATTCTTGCCATTTACTGGGCGGTGGTGGCGAACGCCTTTAATCCCAGCACTTGGGAGGCAGAGGCAGGCAGATATCTGTGAGTTCGAGGCCAACGTGGGCTACAGAGTTCCAGAGAGGTGCAAAACTACACAGAAAAACCCTGTCTCAGAAAAAAAAAATCTTGCCATTCAACTGAATTTTGAAACTTACAAGAGTACATAAGTATGCACAGACATGAGACCCTTAGGACAAGATGCATTTCAAGATAACCTCTAACACCAAGATCACACAATAAAGATGACACCTTCACAAAATGAGACCAGTGTTAAAATTTGTCAGGATTACTTGAATGATTTCTTCAATTTTGTCTTTCTGGAGTCTGAAGCCAAGGCTTACAAACACTGCTTAAGCTATTGCTGAATTCCTCTTCCAACCCTAAATTATTTCTTGTATCTCTTAGGATTTCACCATGGCCTCTATTTACTTCCATTAACCTGCAGGGGACTAGAAAGGACCTTATGAACAGTGAAGAGTCTGAGAGTGCTTCACACACTGTCTTCTTTCTGCTTTCTTATATGGTCTAAATGTAAATGACAGTGCTGATACGTGAGTCAGGATTTTGTGGGGATTTTTATCTGCCTCTGTCTAGTCCCTCCTGTCACCTGAGAGGCATTTTGTACTGGAAACCAGGGCTCATTTTCTCAACTGGAGTTTAAATGTTAAACCATATTTAATTATTAATGTATAGCAACTTATTAGTTTTGAAAGTTGGGGATAATAGAACTCCAGACAGAAAAGGACAGTGTGTGTTTGGGGGAGTTGTTTATGCATGGATATAAACATATATATATAATATGCAAAATAAGCAAAATAGTGTAATACAATACAATCGGCAAACATTTTTAGTTAGTTTTGTTTCAGAAAAGAACCTAAAAACACAGGAATGAAAGTAAAGGTACACACATGATGTTACCTGCAACTAAAAATTTTGTGATTAAAAAAAAGAAAAGAAAAGAAAAGAAAAGCAGGATCAAAATACAAGATTGAAAAATGAAAGAAAATATTTGCCATGTGTGCAGACAACAGGAATTGATATTCAAAACACTAAAAACTAAGTAACAACAAATCCAAACAATTATTTTTAAAAGAGGAAACAAATTTAAAAGCCATTTTCAAAAGATGACACAAATGGAGCAGGCAGGGGACATTGTGAGTTATATATAACCTTAATCTCCAGGGACATGCAAGGCAGCCTGCAATGAGACATCCGCACACTATAAAAGGAAAAGCTACTCACAGTGTTTAATTTGTAACTTAAATGTTATTAGTATGTGTTGGTGTGTGTGTGTGTGTGTGTGTGCCTGCCTGTCTGTCTGTGTTTATGCATGCCATCATGTGCATGTGGAAGACAGACAACAGCTTTTGTGGAGTCATTTTTCCTTCCATGATAGGTTTCTGGAATTTAACTCGGGGTATTAGCTTGGGACATAATAGTCTCTTACCTGCTAAATTATCTTCATGGACCTCTGTTTTAAATGCATTTTAATTTTTTTTTTTAAATTTTAAGTCAGGTAGAGGTAGAACACATTTTTAATCCCAGCATTGAAGAGGCAGAGGCAGGCAGATCTCTGAATTCAAGGTCTATAGAGTGAGTTTCAGGACAGCCAGGCATACAGAGAGAAACTTTGTATATTATGTTTAGTTTTCAAAATATATATGTGTGTTCACACACATGCATGCATACACATGTGTTGGGGATGTCTTTCTGTATGCTGTGAATGTGTGTTGCTCTGATTTGGCTGATAAATAAAGTGCTGATTGGTCAGTAGCCAGGCAGGAACTATAGTATAGGCAGGATAAGCAGAGAGGAGAATTCTGGGAAGAGGAAGGCTGAGTCAGGAATCCCCAGCTACAGACACAGGAAGCAAGATGTGAAGGCAGAACTGAGAAAAGGTACCAAGCCACGTGTCTAAACATAAATAAGAATTATGGGTTAATTAAAATGTAAGAGCTAGTCAATAGTTAGCCTGAGCTAATGGCCAGTTTTAATTGATACAGCCTCTGTGTGTTTTCTTGGGTCCAAGCAGCTGCAGGGCTACAGGAGCTGAGCGGGACTGGAGAAAACTTCAGCTACACACAAATATATTTCATAAAGGCTGTACTAATTGAAATTACTGAGGCAGGTAAGGCCAAAAGCACTGGGCCATGCCTTAAGCAAGCAAAGAGCTCAGACATGCACAGGAGTATCCTGACCCAGAGGATCCTAAAACTGGACCCCCAAGGTGGCCACTGCTGACATACAACCCAGAGCCAACCAGAAAACACCACAGCAGTTGGAAGCAGAGCACGCCAAAAAGTACACACATAAATACCTCAGTCCTTTGTTTAATAAATGAGATTGCTTACAACCTACCAGAGCCTATGCTGTTGGTTCTGCGTCTATTTACCCCCTGCCCCCAGAATCAGAGACATTGGGACCCCAGCTGCACAGGCAGCAACAAATTACCACCAACACTAGAGAGATATTTCCTTTTCTTGATAGCCTTGTTCAAACACCTGTTATCTGTAGTGGTTTTGAGAATAATATTCTTTAAGCTATATATACAATTATAATTTAAATATAATACAAAGTTATGTATGAATAATATTTATATGTATGTTATTTATATACCTATATATCATATATGTATACATATATTCTTTGAATTATATATAATACATATATATATATATATATATATATATATATATATATACTGAAAAATAGTACAGAGAAACATAAACGGAATTCCCATTTGATATTTACACTCCTGGATATATATCCAAAGGAAATGAAATCTGTATGCCAGAGGTATGAATTCCCTCATGTTCCTTGCAGCATTATTTACAATAGCCCAAATTTAAACAGTTCAAGTGTTCTATCAGTTCATCAACAGATTCTTTACATTGTAAATTTGTCCAATTGAATAAAAGTGACACATAAAAGAAATGGAATTTTGTTGTTTGCAAAGATGCTATCATCCTTTGGCCAAGGAAAATCAATCAGGCATAGAAAAACAAGTACCACATGCTGTTACCAATGTCTGGAAACTTAAAAGCAGACTTTACAGAAGTTAGAAATAGAACCTTGGAGAGTGGGTGAGTAGAGCAGAATGGAAAATATTGATCAGTGTTTACTGAGTTACAGTTAGGTAGGGGACACATGTACCAGAATGTTAGGGCATTGTATTGTTTCTTTATATAACAATTATATGGCACCTTCTGTAGAAAGCCCTAGCAGACTTAGAAAGATTTTTCTCTAGATAATTGAGAAATGCAAGAGAAGATTGTTTACCCAGTATGAACGCATATCAAAATATGGCATACTATTGAAAGTAAAATTTTCATGATCGATTTATTTTAATTAAGAATATTTAAAAAACAATTAAATTATTTCTTTGAGTATGCATCTCTTCAGAAGGAGCATTTTAAATAAACTGTATAATAGGAAGATTATTCATAGTTCAAAAACAGGAATTTATACAGGATATATGCTACAGAAGAGTAATTTTTCAAGCAGTTGTCACAACTAATCATTAATTTGAAAAATAAATAGATCACATACATGTTGTATATCACACACAATATATAACTATATATATAAAACTATGTATAACTATAACTATATATAGTCACACACACACACACACACACACACACACACACACACACACACATATATATGCTATACAAATCCAGATAATCACAAAAGCCGGTGCATATAGTCTCAATCTGTATTATACCCTAGCTGTCAGTGCAAAGCAGATGGACAAGCAACAGTATACTGCACCTAGACAGTGATTTATGATTTATCATTTTCATAACAAAAGTAAAACACTTCTACTCTCCCTTTAAGATTTACTCAGTATCTTAAGATTAAAGAAGACTCTTTCTGACCAATGCTGAAGCAGAAGAAAAACATAAAAAATTAATGTTGACTTTTTTTGACATTTAATGCAATGTGACTTTTCCCCCCAGCATCCTTGATTAATTAGTCAATATTGCTGGACAATTTTAAAGCAGTTTCTCTAGACTGAAAAAAAATCATTGTTGAATAACAAAAATCAATTTGCTATACAAATCCAGATAATCACAAAAGTAGGTGCATAAATTCCTTGTTATGCTACCACTCCAGATATTGTTATCAGGGCCTGACAGCAGCTTAGCTGTGATTGAAGACCCAGGA